TGTCCCACCGCAAATCCCTGCCGTATCATCCCTTTAGTTCCATCTATTGAGAATCCAGCAAAGGGTCAACTCCCTGTTGTGTGCAGGGTTTGGGTAGATGAGCTCCCTGGGGTGCGGTCAGAGCTCCCAGGGTGCGCCTGGCTTTTGCAGCTCGGCTGAGCCTCTAGGCTTTCCACATCCAGGACAAAGGCTTGGAGCTGGGCAAAGCACTCCTTATATTCTAGAGTTTGAAATTAAAGCGGAGAAGCCAAAAAATTCAAGTCTTTCACTAAGACATCTTCTCTAATACACAAGTAATTGAGATTGCAAAGTATATGTACAGGGGGCAAAGCCAAAGGTATTGCTAGAAGTGTCCAGTGAGACGATCAAGGCTCTGTTCATGACATCGGCATTCATCAGACGTTTGAAAAAGAAGCACAGGGGCCGGGGATATAGCTGAGCAGCACAAGTGCCTGCCTGGCAAGCACAAGGTCCTGAGTTCGATTCCTGATAAAAAAAAAACAACAACAGAACAAGAAGCACAACAGGGAAGACAGTTAGAAGGACCAAAGCCAGAACCGGCACGAATTTCCATTGTAGAGACCAACAGGTACCTTGTGTTAAGACGTCCAGTGTGTGGTCGTGTAGGAAGAAAACAAGAGTGACAGTTTCTTCTGGGAAGACCCCCGGCCTCTTTGGGTGTTACTTGTGGTTTTCTACTCAGTGTGGATTCAGGTCCATCATTTGATGGATTTTCTTGCTGATTTGTAAGAAACTGTGGTTTGAGAGGATGATGAGCTCAGCCTTGTCTTACAGTGCCAGGAGCACAAACCTTTTCTTTTTTTCTATCCTCTTTACTCTCTCCCTCCCTTCCTCCTTCCTTCCCTCCCTCTCCCCCCCACCTCCTTTTTTCTGTACTAGAGATAGAACCCAGGGCCGCTGAATGTTACCGAGTGATTTCTGTCACTCTATTGTTTTTCTGCTCCTGATTCCTTTACTGTTCCATTTTGCTTAACTGCTTGCCCTGCTTTGTGTATTTGTTCCTTTATGCTCTCAGACTTATTTTCTCTGTCTTGAATATCTAAGTATTGTTCATAGTGCCATTTTTGTGGTCATGAATTTCAAAGATGTCTTAAGATGCTGTTTGTTGTGGAAATTCCTTATTCATAAATTTTGAGAGGTAGTTTTGCAGATATATTAATCCAGGTTGAACATTGTTTTCTTTTAGGGCTTAAAAGACTTCGTTCCAAGCTCTTCTGGCCTTTTGTGTTCAGCAATCTGTTGTAATTCTCATTGGTTTATCTTTATAAGTTATATGTTGTTTTTCTCTAACAGCTTTTAGTTTTATCCTTGTGTTGAATTCTGGGAACTAAGCTATGATGTGTTAGGAGAGGATCTTTTTTGATTCAGCTTTTTGGAGTTTTCTATTCCTCATTCACCTAGGTGGAATTCTTTCCCTGTACTTCTTTCCCTATACTGGAGTTTTATATTCCTCATTCACTTCTTTCCCTATACTGGAGTTTTATATTACTATACTATACTTCTATACTATACTTCTTTCTATACTATACTTTCTATACTATACTATATACTCTACTATACTTTCTATACTATACTTTCTATACTATACTACACTTTCTATAATATACTATACTTCTTTCTATACTATACTTCTTTCCCTATACTGGAGTTTTCTATTCCTCATTCACCTAGGTGGAATTCTTTTCCTATACTTAGAAGTTTTTATTTTATGATTTCTGTAAGCAAATTATTTTACACATTTTGTACCATCCCCTAATTTTCACTGAACTCCTATTATTCTTAGGTTTGTTCTCTTTGAGTCACGCAGCAACTGTTTGATCCATTTCCCATGACTTCTTACTGCTTTTTAAGGTATCACCGTGTATGTAGTTACCTGCATCAACCCTGTCTTCCAGGTGTGAGACTTTCTCCTTACATTAGTCATTTCTTTCTTTCTTTTTTGGTACCGGGAATCGAACTCATGACACTGCGCTTGCCAGGCAGGCACTGTGCTGCTGAGCTATATTCCCAGCTCATTAGTCATTTCTGCTGCCTGTACTTTTGTTACAGTTTTTATATCCCAGATATATAGTTGATACCTTTTCATGTAGTCTCATTCTTTACTGAACTGGTCATTTTTTTCTTGTATTGTCTTAGATAGTTCGCCCAGCTTTTATTTGTGTCTTATTTAAACTCACTGATAATTTTTATCCATTAAGTTCATTTTCTGTTTATTATATCACCTTTGTGTTTGCTGAACACCTTACTGACCTTCTTCTTTTTTCCTGTCATACGTTCCGGTCTTTTGGTTTTTAGTTGCCCTGATCCGTACCCATTGGATCAGATTGGAGGAACGAGACTTTCGGGGCATTTTGTTGCCTTTTCTCTCATGTCTCTGTTGGTTGGGGTGGGGATGCGCTCAGCGCTGAGGGTAAATTAGAGCAGAAATTCTCTCTTGCTCATGTGGCGAGCTCTTTAATGTCTGGCTCCCAGTCACGCACTCTTTGGACTTTGTTGTATTTTATTATTTGTACCTGTTCAACCTGCTCAGCTTAGGAAGCTCAGATCCAGTTGCTGTGTTGCAAGGCCCGAGTCCCCACCCGTTGTATCAACATCAAGAGATGCCGCTTTGTACAACATGTGCTTTGAAACTTGCTTTAACAGTTTCACCCTTTCCTCCATGACTTATAAAGTTGGTGCCATGCTGTGATGGATGGGTAGCCTGGGATGTGATGGGTGGGGAAGGAAAGAGGAAAGAGAGAGGGGAGAGGGTGTGGATCAGAAAGAAGAGAAGGGAAAGAAAATAATGAATGAAAGCTAAGCACAGCGAACTGTTAATACTGTTGCTATCACCGACGCGGAGGGCTGGCAGAAGGGAGGCTTGCCAGTATTTGTGGGAGCAGGAGGAGGAATTCAGAGAAGCGTAACTGGAGACCTGGGGAACCTGCCGATGTGCGGCTGGCGGGTTCCAGCACTTGTCCACAATCGGGGCGGGGCTTGCTTGCCTCGCGCTCCTTTCCACATACTAGACAGAGACCACCCTATATACGCTAGGAGGAAGGGAAAAGAAAGAGGGTCAAGGAGGAAGATAGGAAGAAGACAAGAAAAAGAAACACCCAAAAACCCTACACTTGCAAGAACACAGAATTCAAGCGTCCTCGCTGTCCTGTTCACCGTGCCGCAGTCTGAGTTCGGCCAATGAGGTCTTCCCACCCACACACACGCATGCACGCGCACACACACACACACGCATGCACGCTCGCGCGCGCACACACACACACACACACACACGCATGCACGCGCACACACACACACACGCCATGCTCACAAGCATTGCCCTGCAGCCCTTGTGCGTTCCGATTCTGGGCCGGGCCCGGCGCTTGCGCACACCTCGCCGTCCGCGCAGTGTCCCTGTGCCCCCGCGCTCCCTCTCCTCGCCCTCCTCAGGCCGAACCCGCCTCTGGGGTCCCTGCGCTGGCCCCGCCGCAGGGGACCGGTTCACGGCCTGCCTCCAAGGGCGGAAGCGGGGGCTGAGCCGGACTGCTGGGCCTGCCTCCCCGGCGCGCGGGCTGCTCCGCTCGGCCGCGCGTTTGCCTCTGCGGCTAAGGGGAGGCCCTGGGCTCCGCGCTGGCGGTCGGGCCCACGGCCAAGCGGGGAGACGCGTTGGGCTCAGCTCCAGGCTGTGGCCCTGGAGGGGTCCTGTCGCTCTGCGGGCGGCTCCCCCCTGCGGGACTCACCCCGCCGCGGCCTGCGCCCTCCTCTGCAGGGCTGGGGCAGCCCGGGACGCAGGACCGCTCCGCCCTCGGAGGTTCCGTGTTGGCTTTCCGAAAGCGTGGCTCTGCACTCCAGGCTCATCCTGGGACCCGAGGCGCTCAGCGGCCGGCTGGGCAGCGGGTGGGAGTGAGCGGCGGCCCCACAGCCGCGGCGCCCTTTGCGGGAGGAG